TAAGAGTGACAAAAGCCTGAGTGTCTACTTTACCCCAATGTACACTTGTGCAGACTTAAAGGCTATATGTTTGGAAGAGAAATGGAAAAGCGCTTGATGTTGTAGCATGATACATTAAAAAACACTATGGGGGCTGGAGATATGGCTCGACAGTTAAGAATACTAGCTGTTATTGCAGAAGACCAGGGTTCGAATCCCAGGCGACTTAGCAGATAACAACTGCCTGTAACTCTAGTTTCAGGGGATCAGACACCCTCTCATAACATCCATGGACATTGCACGACAGAGTTGCACTTACATATATGCAGGCAATACATGCATACACATAAAATAAAAATGATAAAAAATTTTAAAAACATAAAAACATACTGTGCTGTTTTGTAAGTGTAACTTGAGTTCTCAGTGATATTCACCACAATTGGATGGGAAAGTGAAGGCTTTCTCACATTTCTTTATATTGCTACTTCCTCATCTATTTGAATCAATAAATTTTGATTGGTGATTTTGCAATTTTGTACTTAATTCTGTTTTCCTTCAGTACACTATGAAGTTCTGTAACATAAAAGTCTTTCAAAATTTTTGAGACTTATAGACAAATCCCTTTAGTGCAGATGCTATTTTGTATTCTAAGGATTAAGTCCAGAGTAAAGGATGTACCAAATACTGAGCAATCGTAGACTATCTCTTTAGTATGAGTTTTTGATAACTGCTAACTTTTGACATGATTAATGGAAGAGCCACAGTCTTTATACTGCAGTGTCTCCCTTTATTATAATTTCTCTGATGTTCTCTAAGAGTTGAAATACAAGAAATGGACTTCTCAAAACATTTTCATTTGTGACATTTCTCTTAAGTATGAATTCTCTGGTACCTTCTATGTGCTGAGTGTTCAGTTGGTCACATTCATCTTACCAGAATGGGTACTTTCCAGTATGAATTCTCTGATGAAATATTAAATCTGACATACAACTAAAGGACTGGTCACAAGCTTCACATTTGTAGGGTTTCTCTCAAATATGAATTACATGATGTGCTCTATGATGAGATATATTTCTAAAGGACTTCTTACATTCTTCACATTTGTAGGGATTCTCTCCAATCTGAATTCTCTTATGCGACTTATAAATTGAGCTCTAGGGTTATCTCTCAAGTATGTATTTGATGATGTCCTCTAAGACTTGACCACTGACTAAAGTACTTGCCACATTTTTCACATTTGAATGGTTTCTCTCCAGTATGCATTCAGTGGTGTAACTGAAATATTGACATATGAGTAAAAGCCTTGGTACATTCTTCACATCTGCAGGGTTTTTCTCCAGTACATATTTGCTGCTGTCTTCTAAGAATTGACCATTCACTCAAAGACTAGCCACATTCTTTACATTTGTAGCGTTTCTCTCCAGTACGTATTTGCTAATGTAATCTAACATGGGATATTTGACTAAAGGACTTGTCACATTCTTCACATCTGTAGGGTTTCTCTCTCCAGTATGTATTTGCTGTTGTCTTCTACGATTTGACCATTTACTAAAGCACTTTCCACATTCTTCACATCTGTAGGGTTCCTCTCCAGTATGTATTTGCTTATGTAGTCTAAGAACTAACATCTCAATAAGGGACTTGCCACATTCTTCACATATTTAGGGTTTCTCTCCAGTATGTATTTGCTGATGTAATATAAGATGTGACCTTTTACTAAAGCACTGGAGACATTCTTCACATCTGTAGGGTTTCTCTCCAGTATGTATTTCCTTATGTCTTCTAAGATTTGATATTTGATTAAAGGACTTGCCACACTCTTCACATCTGTAGGGTTTGTCTCCAGCATGTATTCGCTGATGTACTCTAAGACTTGATATTTGACTAAAGGACTTGCCACATTCTTCACATCTGAAGGGTTTCTCTCCAGTATGTATTCGCTGATGTACTCTAAAATTTGATATTTGACTAAAGGACTTTCCACATTCTTCACATCTGTAGAGTTTCTCTCCAGTATGTATTCGCTGATGTACTCTAAGATTTGATATTTGACTAAAGGACTTGCCACACTCTTCACATCTATAGGGTTTCTCTCCAGCATGTATTCGCTGATGTACTCTAAGACATGATATTCGACTAAAGGAGTTGCCACATTCTTCACATCTGTAGGGTTTCTCTCCAGTATGTATTTGCTGATGTCTTCTAAGATGTGACAATTTACTAAAGGACTTGCCACATACTTCACATCTGTAGGGTTTCTCTCCAGTATGTGTTCGCTGATGAACTCTCAGTTGTGACATTTGGTTAAAGGACTTGCCACATTTTTCACATCTGAAGGGTTTCTCTACAGTATGTATTCGCTGATGTGATCTAAGATGTGACACATAACAAAAGGACTTGCCACATCCTTCACATCTGTAGGGTTTCTCTCTAGTATGTGTTCGCTGATGTCTTCCAAGATGTGACACTGAATGAAAGGACTTACCACATTCTTCACATCTGTAGGGTTTCTCTCCAGCATGTATTCGCTGATGTACTCTAAGATTTGATATTCGACTAAAGGATTTGCCACATTCTTCACATCTGAAGGGTTTCTCTCCAGTATGTATTCGCTGATGTACTCTAAGATTTGATATTCGACTAAAGGATTTGCCACATTCTTCACATCTGAAGGGTTTCTCTCCAGTATGTATTAGATGATGTAATCTAAGATCTGACCTTTTACTAAAGGACTTGCCACACTCTTCACATCTGTAGGGTTTCTCTCCAGCATGTATTCGCTGATGTACTCTAAGATTTGATATTTGACTAAAGGACTTGCCAGATTGTTCACATCTGTAGGGTTTCTCTCCAGTATGTATTTGCTCATGTGATCTAAGATATGACATTTGACTAAGGGACTTGCCACATTCTTCACATCTGAAGGGTTTCTCTCCAGTATGCATTTGCTGATGTACTGTAAGATATGACACATGATGAAAGGACTTGCCACATTCTTCATATTTATGGAGTTTCTCTTCAGTATGACTTCCCTGCTGTAATTTGAAACTTGACATCGCAGTAAAGGACCTGTCACATTCTTCACGACATCTGTAGGCTTTCTCTATATTGTATACGCTCTGATGTCTTCTAACAGTTGAGTTCTCCAGGCAAAGGAAAAAAGAAGACAACATTTCAATATGTAAAATAAGGATGAGCCAATCACACACAGATACATAAGAAACATGTAATATGCATGAATACAATTTTCAACATTGTGAAACATTCAAGTA